CACACACAGATACTAATTCTACTATTCCAAATTTTCATTAGCTATTTTATCGCTCACAAGATCTTTACTCACTTGCTGAGCAGTTCCACAAGTGGTGTCAGAACAGTGGCTAATTTCCTCAGATAAATTTAGTCTTTTGAAAAAAATACTACTTCCCTTGCTAGTCTTACTCAGAATACCTGAACTCTTTTTCAAAACCCACCTTGAATTATTAGAACCCTTACATTAGATCAGAAAAGATGTCTGAATACACACCTCTTATCAATGCAATGTTGGCACCACTGTCTTCAACCAGCATTGGGAGCCATCCATGGCCTCTTCTGGAAGTTCTCTCATGCATCCTTTGGACACCAGATTAGACATGCCTCACCCAAGTCCAATTACCCCAGATAACCAACCTAGATCTCATCAATTGGTGGTAGAATCCAACACCCATTTCCTAGAAGAAAAACTGGAGATTCCTAAATATGCAGGACCAAACAATGGTTGTAGGTTAGTCAAGATTAAGCCTTTAGACAAGGAATTATTTTTCAATGAGACAAAAATGCTGATAGAGAAAATTATCAAACGCTATGTGCATGTGGGAGAAGCAGACGGAGCTAGTGCGACGGATCTGCCAAAGCAGATCATTTTGTTCATAAAAGGAGGCAACTTGAAGGACAATGTGAGAACTCCTTTGGGATGGGTTGGCAGTCCTTGAGGGGGAAATAACAATAAGTGGGTATCAAATATTACCGAATCCACCATTATTTAATTGACTGGTTTGAAAAAATCCACACTTTTTTAAACATGTTGGTTATCCATTCAACCCCTTTTGGGGCCCATTTATTCAAAAAAAGTTTTTGGAAAAGTGACTGGTTTCTGATGGTGGATTTCCTATATTTGATACCCCCTAATATGATATTTCACTATGTAATATTTACTGTTACGGCTGGTTTGAAAGACCTGTCCCTCTATTTACTACACAAGAATTCTGACAGCAATTTATTTTATTGTTGTGGTGTATTGATATTTTGGGGCATAGGTTTGTTGACCGGTTTTACTTTTTTTGCTGCGGATTTATACTTGGCTGCGCAGACTAACACTCCATCGCTACATTGCATTTGTTGTTCGAAGACATTTTCTGACGATGCATCACTGGAGGCTGTTACCACGTTTGAAGTTGTAGTTATGTTTGTAGGAAAGGTTGTCTCGTATTCTTGATTAGCCGGAGTAATAATAGGAACCAAGTAAACTCGTCCTTCATTGTCTTTTATGGATAGACTTTCCCCACCTTCTCCTGCGTACCACATAGTTGCTGATACATTGATTAGGAAGGGTCTACCTAAGATAGGCTGCACGTTTCCGGTGGATACCCAGAAGTGGACGTTTCGAGAGATATTTCCAATTTTAATGCATACAGATTCGGCTATCCCAAGGATTTTGTTCTTGTGACCGCTGATTCCTTTAAGGTTCATTTTCTTTTCCGTAACGATGATGCCCAGGCGTACCGCAAGATCCTTTGGGAGCACGTTGACCATGGAGCCGTTGTCCAGAAGGGGTTGGACTTCCTTACCGTTTATACCTACCTTTATGTGGCCCAGCGGGCATGCGTAATGGGACCTGCGTGGAGCTTCTGTTTCTTCCTCTTCCTCGTCGTCTGAGTCCACTCCTCCGGCGTTAGTTACCTTTTCTGGTGGGCCGCCCTCGATTGGGACCTTTCGTCGTGAAATCTTCTTCTTGAAAGCTTCAGATACACCATTGGAGATTGCAAAAATTTCACCATAGGAGAGTTCCAGGACCTTTCGTCGTGAAATCTTCTTCTTGAAAGCTTCAGAGACACCATTGGAGATTGCAAAAATTTCACCATAGGAGAGTTCCATTTTGCCTAGTTCCCGGAGGAAGGTTGATGATTCCCGGGGTCTGTGATGGCGTGCAGTTCTTATCCATGACTTCTTTTATGGCACGCCATCTGTCGGGCTGTACTATGGTTCCATTAGGAAGTTTGAGGTCTTTTCCTTCACGGTAAACTTTCTTGTCGACTTTGTCCTGGGCAAATAAGCTACATCAATACACCGTGTGTTTATCCCCAAAGCAATAATGACATCTTAAGGTCGACGGTGGTCTCTTGTATTGCGCCGGCCTGTAGGGTACGTGGCTGGCTGATATCATGGGGCCTTTCTGGATGTTCCATCCTGCTAAGGTCTTGGTTAGCTCCTTGACAGCTGGATCCTTTCGTGGCGTACTTACTGGGGCTCGTGGCGGCGCTGGTTGATTTGCGGCCGGTTGCTTTGCCGGGGGATCCTCTCCTTCTAAGATTGAGATGGTCTTGAGTTCACAACTGATATATTTCATAATGGTTAGGTACGGCGGCAAAATGTGGGATCCATCCACCAATAAACGCATTTGGTTATCTCTGATAAGTTCCTTTGTGACTGAGACCTTAATTGGATGGACCAGGCAGTTTAATACGGCATGTCGAATTTCCTCTGCGTTACCCATGTGTTGGCATCGGACAAGGTAAGCCACCAAGTTATCTATCTTGATACCAAAATTTTGGAACTCCCGTTGAGTCTTGATACCGGATGCGCGTGTTGTTGCTAGGAGCTGATCCAAGTCGTTCCTCGTATGTTTCAGGAGCGGCATCATCTTACCCCAACGTAGCACCATCCGTTCTTTCAATTTCTCCCAGTCGTGGTTCTCCTTTTCGGCCATTTCCTGGACTTCTTTAACCAATGTCTTGCCTTCAAGGAAGAAAATTATCTGAAGTGCAATGTTGGATCCTAGGGCGCCATCTATCTGTGCGGTGTATTCCAGGCACTTAATAAAATTGCTGATGTCCATGTTAGTACCGCTGAACATTAGTCCTTTATATTGGGACTTAATTTTGACTGGTTTTTGTCCAAATGGTTCCGGGTTATACGCCGGCAGCATGACACGACTTTCAAAAAAATGAGGACTTGGTAGTATATTCCCCGCTTGGCCATGACTTGGGAAGCCGTGACCGGGAAATCGAGATCCTGCAGAGTGTTCTTACAACGCCAGGTTCGCAGTTGGGCCATCTGAAGACAAATTTTCTGAGGCGTTGTTTTGATCGCGGAATGGTCCGGGGTTGAGAGGTAAGTTGTTGGATAATTGTCCGATATTGGACGAGTAGAGGTTTATAGGAACTGGCTGGTTACGGTAAGACATTTCTAGAAGCTATGAATTAAATCTAATCTCATTTTTATGTGTGTGTTTTTATGAATTTTTAAGTGCGGGAAAAGGCGAGAGATAGTGATGATAGTAATGTAAGGAAATGATTTTTTTAAGGGTTTTTTATCTTAAGATTGTAATGGATAACCAAAACGTGACTCTTTAATCTAGAGATCATCAAGCCACTGTTGGGACACCACTTGTGGAACTACCCGGTGGGATCAGATAGAGTGTGGAAGGGTAAATGCACCGTGAATAAGGCTGCCCTCCGGTAAAAGGTGATAAGGTAGTAGACAAGGAGAGTTCAAATACTCTCTGAAGTTGTGGCGGACTATTTCTGACTAAAGGTGAGATAATATTTCTGAGGACTTTTTCTAAGGACTATAAAACTAAGGACTATAAGCTAACTATGTTGACCAGGCTGAGCACGTCAGGGAACTGATGAGGGAACAAATGATGAGGGGAAAACATGGCTCCTTATATACAAAATCTGGGGAGTGGCCAGCTTGTGGTTTGAGAAAAGGATCAAGTGAAAAATATCAAACTGAAACACTACGGCCCAGAAGGTGGCTGCTAAGACCAAAGAGGACACAATGACATAGCCTGCTTTCCCAAAAGGGTGCATAAGTCTGAAACGCGCATAGCCACATGCAGGCGCATGCATAGAGGTAAGAGACTAATCCCCAAGTGGGTGCATTAGTGTGAAACAGAGAGATAAGAGAAAGAGGAGTGCATATGCAGCAGCTCCAGAAAGAGAGAGAATGAAACAAGAAAAATCAAGGAGGGTTCCTAATACCCAGGCTCTGTCTGAGGGGTGACTTTCTTCCCCCCACGTGTGGTCTGAGTGTCTTGAGGTTGCTGTCTGGCCTGAGGACCAAGGTGTTTGGGGTCTTCTTGTCCGGATTGTGCGGTCCATTGAGGCCTTGATGTTTTGATTTGGCTCACCACAACGGAGATGAAGAGGAGTACAACCTTAGGGAGCAGGTCAAAAAGACGGTCAAGATTCAGAACCCAGCCCCCAAGGAAGACTTAGAAGGAAAGCTTACTGTAACCCCCCCCCCCCCCCTTGATTTGGGGTTCACAAACCTCTCACTCACATGTCACGCCCTCCTTTTAGTCTTCATCTTTCAGTTCCCCTTCCTGGCTCTGCAGAGATCTGTTCCCTCCCATCTCTCTGAGCCAGGTAAGTCCTATTTCTTTATTTCTTTTCTTATTGTTTCTCCTTTTCTAGATTGTACTGAGAGATCTGTTCCCTCCCATCTCTCTGAGCCAGTAATCAATTCCCCCCCGTGTTTGGTCTTAGAAACTGCTCAGGCTTCACCAGCCGTGTCCGAACAGCGCCTTTCTCAGCTCATTCAGTGAAGGACAAATCCAGTCCTTACACTTTTTTTTTCTCACACCAAACCACTCACACTGACCCTGCTCCAACTAACTACTGGACTTGACTCGACTGAATTGACTGAATTCCACTTGACTGAACATACTCGACTCGACTGTACTCAACTGACCCCCCCCTGACATACTTGACTGACCCCCCCGCCTTGACGACTCGACTGCCCTTTTTTTTTAAACCGCAATCTCCTCCACTTCTTATTCCGTTTCCTTTTTCTCTTTTGCTTCCTTCAACATACTTCCACCTCTTGGGACTACACAATCGCTTGTTTTTGACTACCAGGAGTAATACTGACCCCAACGATCTACTCCCGTTAACGGACCCTGAGGCTATCATCCGATCGTGTAACGCCAAAGAACGCCGACTCAAACACCTTAAGTCCAATCCAACTGCCCCGCTCCCACCTCCTTGTGAAACTACACCTTCCACCGTGATGTCCGACGAAACGCCAGCTCACGAAACGTCTGGATCTACTCGCACGGCAGACGCATCAGACATGCAGACAGCCAAAGACTGGTTCAAGTCCGTCTTCAAGATCCAACACGCATTCATTGTTGAGGCACAGGCCGACCGTCGACAAGCTGCGGAAGATCGCCGACAGGCTCTAGAGGATCGCCGCGCGGACCGACAGATCCTTGTCTCTGCTCACCAAGCCAGTGCTGCCCGCATTAGCCGTTTAGAAGAATTACTCCTGGCGATGAACATCAAGAACAAAGTCAAAGCCCAACCGGTACAATCAACGCCAGGCAAGATCGACCTCCAGAAGTTCCGCACCTTGGATGGACCAATGTATCACGGGCCATTTCAGGAGACCGAGTCCTTTTTACGCTGGATTCATGGAGTCCAGATCTTTTTTGAGACCAAGGACGTTACCAATGAAGATCCTTGGTAATCTCATCGCCAAAACGAACCTCCAGTCCTTCTATGCCAACGAGGCGGCCGACTTCCTCACCAAGTCTTGGGAGGAATTTAAAACACGGTTGTTCGACTTTGCGCTCCCTACTAATTGGCGGTCCGGGCTACAACGTCAGATTTGCCAACTCAATATGTCGCCGGCGGAAACGTTTCTTGAGTATAGCACGCGAGCCTGTACGTTGCAGAGCCTGTTTAATTTCAATGCCAGCAAATCCTCAAAACTTGGCGACCTCCAACTCGCCCAATTTGTGGTCTATGGGTTGCCGGATTCCCTCCAGGATCGGATTAACAAGCGCCAACTCCTTGAAGTGGCCCCGTTCACTTACGGCCCGTTTGAGAAACAAGCCAACGCTTCCTACATGGCGTTACAACAACCGGCCGACCCACCTATTGTGTCCAGATCAACACCGAGCGCACCGCCAAGCCTCGCCCGCGACGAGTTTGTCTGGCGAGTACACTCTTATCTGGATTTGCAGGGCTTGTGCCACTTTTGCAAAAAACATTGCGGCAGCGCGGCTGGCGCCTGTCCTGGGCCAATCGATCTATCTGGCATCAACATTCCATCAAAATTTGCAACCCCGATTAAACCGGCCGACTATGTTGCCCCGCGCACCTGGGGTAAGCCAACTGCCACGCCGGGAAAACCCACACAAGCTCCGGCGGGACGCCCTGCAACTCGCGCTGCGAGCGTTGCGGGTATTACGGATACGACACCCCTTGAGGCCCAAGTCTCTGCGCTAACACTCGACGCAGCTATGCAAGAGGATGGGCGCTGGGACACTTACTTCAACGATGAAGGATGCTTCCCTAGTCTGGAACTGGCTGCGGTAGCGGCACTCGAGGATCTTGACAGTCAACTCCTTGCAAATGAGATTGAGAAGGCCGAACAGGCCGACTTAGCGGACGCTATCGCCGGCCGCCCGGGACGCGCCTGACTCAACTTCCGCCTCTTTACTCTTTTTTTCCCTTTTCCTTTTTTTTTCTCTCTTCTTCCCACTTCCTCTATGATTTTGTTTTGTTTTGTTTTGTTTTCTTTTCTCTCTCTTCAATTTTTTTATAGGAGGGGAGACTGTAAACCCCCCCCCTTGAGTTGGGGTTCACAAACCTCTCACTCACATGTCACGCCCTCCTTTTAGTCTTCATCTTTCAGTTCCCCTTCCTGGCTCTGCAGAGATCTGTTCCCTCCCATCTCTCTGAGCCAGGTAAGTCCTATTTCTTTATTTCTTTTCTTATTGTTTCTCCTTTTCTAGATTGTACTGAGAGATCTGTTCCCTCCCATCTCTCTGAGCCAGTAATCAACCCCCCCCCCCCCCCCCCCGTGTTTGGTCTTAGAAACTGCTCAGGCTTCACCAGCCGTGTCCGAACAGCGCCTTTCTCAGCTCATTCAGTGAAGGACAAATCCAGTCCTTACACTTACAAAGTTAACTTCCGCCTTGGAATATCAGAATCGCCAAGCACCACCACACGTCAGCAGACCATTCTCGCTGGGACTCTCAGATAACAGACCAAGATACGGCCCTTTGGAATGTTTTTACTGCATGGAGAGACATGTGGTCACTCAGTGTGAATACCTCAATCAAGATATGCAGGATCGGAAGGTGTACAAGTCTCAGGGAACCTACTACTATCCAAACTGGCAGGCAATTGTCTTAGACAAGGATTCATCTGTTAGAGAATTAGTCAGAAAGTTTGCAGAAGAGCAAAGCACTTCTTCAAATCCTCCACCCAAGGAAGCCGTGAAGGAACCAACGTCAGCGGTGGCAGAAATTGAAGAATGGGGATCTTGGGTTCCACCACAAGTAAACATGGAGGAAGGTGACCTACAAAACAACCTAGGTTTTGGACTCCGCAAATCTCAGCGACTACAGGAGAAGAATGCACCCTCCGGTAGCCTACCAGCTCCCAGCAACCCTGTAGGAACAGAGGGACAACCATCAAATATTCAGGACGAGGCGCCGAAAACAGCCGCAAGGAGAAAAAGCTTTCCGGGATCTTGGCTTGAAGACGACGACAACGAGGAAGAAGAACGGATTATTATACCTACTAAGGCTAAGACCCGACCAGTTCCGCCGGCAAAAGAGAAACAGCCTAGGTCAGAGACGGTGGATAAGCAAGAAGAAATAATTGGAAAGTTGGATAAATCATTGAAAGCCAAATTTTACCGCCAGTCGTACACTCTCACCTTAGAAGAAATCTTGAAGATCTCTCCAAATTTCTTGCAGGGTTTGCATGCAGTACAACCAGAAGAAGACTTGGTTGAAAGGGGTTTGAACAGTGTCAAATTCAACTGTGCAACCAACGCAAGTATTGATAATGAAGGACAAGATTCTGGGCTTACTTACGCGTGTCCAGTGGGAATGGTGGATATGATCATAAATAAACGCAAAATTAGGACCTTGGTGGATACTGGTGCAGAAATGAACATCATTCCGGACAGTCTGGCAGACCAACTTGGACTTTTAACGACAGAAATATTTATGTGGTTGAAGGGCATTGGGTGACATTTTACACCAATTATTGGGATTGCGGAGAACATACCCGTCAGCGTATTCCCTGGACACATTCACCTGTCCAACTTCTTTATTGTTAAAGGATCAGTACATACAGTTATAGGGCGACCTTTCCTTGCAGATCATAATATCCGGCTAGAGTTATCAAGTCAGAAGGGGGAAGTGTTAAGATTTTTAGACACCAATCAACGGAGGTTATGCATACCAATATGCTTACCAAATACACCAGGATGGCACAAAGAACAGCCAAAACTTCAACAAGTCTTCACCTTTCAAGCCGATGAGTGGGAGGCCAAAAGTATCAGTTCAAAAGATTTTGACCTTCAGGAGAGAATGGAGGAGTACAATAAAACAATTCCGCTCCTAGACAAAGATCCGTGGCGGGTTGTTTATCAGAACCGGTAGATTGGGAACAAGAACTGGGCGCAGCAGAAGTGGACAACGCGGCCTGGGGAATGTTTCACCAAATTAATTCAGCCGTATGGGGAACAAATGTTGATCCAGAACGAGATGCTTGGAGCCTGTACAAGGAGGAGGTTTGGTTACACCCGCGATTCAAGGAGGTATTCAGCTGGCCTATTCAGAAAAGGTCACTACAGAAATTACCCTTATGGTTACAGGAGTTACCAGGAGGCGGCTTGGGGTCACTGGACTTTTTCCAAATTCTCACAACAGAAGCGGCAGACAGTTTTTTACAATATGGAACCTGGAACTCAAGATATGGACCAGTCAGCATTGCTATTAGGCGGCGGTTGTACGGAGGAGGAGCACATAAGTGGTACAAAAAGCACATATCAAGAAGCTACAAAGCTAAGAACATGAGGAATGCTAGCTTTGGAGGCTACCAGTTTTTCATTTGAAAAACTATCTCACTTACAAATATATTTTCACATTCCTCAGTGGTGTATTAATAGCAAGATTTTTTTGGGTCATCAGGCAGGGTGTATTGCAAAAAAATAAATAAAAAAAAAGTCATACACCAGTTGCAGAGCTAAAAAAAAAAAAAAAACTGATTCACTTTTTTTATCTAAAGTTTTTTCCTGGCTTCTATTTTTTATTTTCATTTCAAAACTAGAAAAATAGTGAGGACAAGAACCAAACTCAGAATACAATTACACATCTTTTCATTTGCCTTCAATTTTTTCTATTTTACCATCATAAAAGGGGCTGCGTGCTTTGGTAGATAAATTTGGACAAGAATAAAGCTTTGATAGAAGCACAAACAGCAGGGGATTTCTTGGTTTTTATCTTCATTCATCAGGACCAGAGACAGTTTAGGGCAGCTGCAAGGATGAAAAAGGAAACAACTTACATGAGGGAGATTGACTGAAGTGGATAGGATAACCAAGCTATAGCGGTGTTTTTCCATCGACTGATACCCGGGAGCTAGTGGACAAGGAGGACGGACTTGTAAGAAGAAGAGGCAATGAAGGGCTCCTTTTATATTTGAGATCGAGGGGAGAAGCCTCAAAGGACGGTTAGGATTGATCAATGGTAGAGAGTCGCACAAGCTAGGCAAAGATCGAATTTTTTCTTCATGACTTCTTATTGGACAAGCCGGATGTAGATGAAAAAGTAGGCAATAGGGGAGGAAGAGGCGACAAAACGCTGCTTTTATATTCCATATCGACCAGAGTAGGAGGATCGACCTGAAAGGGAGGCACCGTATTGCTGAGCTTATCCGACAAGCAAAGGAGAAAAGGGATCTTGGCGTCCAAACTGTTGATATTGGCCAAGCTCGGCTACCGTTTTAACAGAATTTTTAAATGTGGAGGCAGTACCTGTGCATCAAACACCTAGAGTCAACATCAACAGGGGGGAGGAGGAAGATATTTGAATACAAACCATTGATAACAAATTCATCATCATTCCTGCATACACAAAACCAACGGCTGTTGAGAAAGATCGATGGATCTAAAGCACGCTCAACAATCGGGGAATGGCATTGTGGAACTACTCTTGGGAGGAATAGAGCTTGAGAGGGATGAGTGCTTTATTGGGCTGCCTCTCTGATAACAAGAAAATATAAGAGTATGGACTCTTAAGGAAAAAGGTGTGGCTGTGGAGATTTCTTGAGGATGGTATGTCTAATATTTCTTATGTTTACTAGTCTAAATAAACTTGTCACAAATCAAGGTATCCCAAATGTTGATGGGCAAATACCTGGCTAATAGTGGGTGATCAGTTATCTGAATTTCTGGGGCAGGCTCTGATGTGGAGCAAAGGAAGAGGAAAAACAAAGCTCCTTATATACAAGATTCTGGGGAGTGGCCAATTTGTGGTTGGAAGATGGATGGAACAAAATGGAACAAAGAATGAACAAGGAAGAAAATTGTAACTATGAACAATGTGGCCTAATTTAGTGTGGCACTAAGATAAGATAAGACTAGACTGAAACCAAAGAGAGAGCCAAGCTAAGATAAGATAATGCATTCATTCTGAAACAGAGAGAGGCTTGGCTAATCTTATCAAGGGGAAGAGGTGGGGGTAATTATTTCATCCAGATGGGGATTGAACAAACAATGAGAAGAAAGGGCCAAAAGAGGACTAGTATGAAACATAGCTGTTGTGTGGTAATTCTTGGCATAATGTGGAAGGAGATAAGAGATAAGGAATATTTTTTAGAGGGGTTTGAGGTTATATTGAGAAGGGTTACTAGTGTGTAGCTGGTGTATGAGCTAAGTCTTATCAATAATGAACTAGGAATTTGGTCTTGGGTTTCATCTGAGGAGTTTCAGAGGTGTGGGAGATGTTATTATCCATGAGGGGGATACTTGTGAGGGTTATTGGTGTGTTACCTTTATTTGAGGGCCTGGGTAAACTCTTGAGGGGCCTTGAGTCTGTGATTCTTGTGTGATATGTAGTCTTGCTGTGCCTTGAGGTTCAGGATTGGCTTACCACAGCGTCCAAACTGTCGATATCGAAGCCGTTGATCACAGTCTGTTGCCAATTAAAGTAAGGCAGCCGCTGTTGAGAAGGAGATGAGTGCAGAGACGTTTGGAGACCGTTAAACGAAAACCACATGGTGGAGGCCAAGAATAAACAATACCTTAAGATCAGTTGTTGGCCTAGCGGAGGAGAGAAAAAAAAAAAAACTTGCGCCTAACCGGCCAATTTGTCAGGAAATACAATTTACAACAGCCTTGAGAAGCTGCATGCAAGACAGGAATGCACCAGCTTACCAGTGTAAAATCTTGGCCGATCCAAATGGAGGTACCGTCGGAAGACGGTGAGGAAGTTGGAAAGAACTTGGCGACAATTGAGAGGAGTCGATCAACGGAGGGAGGGTGTAGTATCACGAAACCCAACCAAACGATTGGCAAGAGCGTTGAAAACGGCTAGCGGTTGGAGTACAGCACAAAAAAACGGAACAGGATTTAGCTCGGCTGCGACAAATTAAGCTTTAACAAAATTAGTTGAAGATTAACAGGTATTGTTGATGGGAATATTCAGCAAGGCTATGAATATTGTGGATAAGTTGAGTAAGAGTACTGAAGCTTAAGAACAATAAAAGTAGACTAGATTTATGTTGGTTACGTGTACTGTATCAATATAAATGTTAACTGGTTCAACTGGTGTCTGAATATTCTGGGGATTAATCAGTGAAAGAGGCACGGATTATAAGTTCCAGAATACTGAAGGAGGGAGAGAATGAGCACTCAGAATCAAGGGAGCTTTGGCCAGGAGAATGAGCACATCAATTGAGTGACTGATCATTATTTGTCATGATCTGTAAGTGACATCATAATTGTGTACTAGTTGATCAATGTACTAGTTGTTGTAACCCAACTACTGGGTTACCTCCAGACTCACTAGACCCTAGTGCATGTAGCTCGAGTGAGCGAGTTTGAGATAATAATAATAATTATCATCACAAACCACATCAGGTCATGAGCCCTCATCTCAACATTTCGACAAAACTTTATCATTACCCAGCGTAGGGCGGATCGATTTTTTATTTTTTATTTCAAACAACACTCTCAAATAACGACCCAGCGTAGGGTAGGAAAACTCATCCGGACAACTCAACAAATTCAACCCGTCATCGACCGTCATACCCAGCGTAGGGTGGAGTTTTAGAATTGGCCGGACCGCCTAGTTTGAAAGTAGGGAGTACGTTTGGAAGCCAGAGACTAGCTGCCTCGTCCCAATACCTTGGTACCTAGGGGGCCAACGTTCGTACAAGCGAGGCTATAACAAAAGCGCTAAGGTTTTTCTCTTTTTCTCCGCTTGAAATCTCCGACAACCATCGATCCTCTTCCGTTCTTCAATTGATCTCTCCCCTCAATCAACTCTTTCCTTCTTTTCCTTTTACCTCGATACTCACTTTATTTCCCACCTCCTCTTTTGTTTCTTTCCTTTTCCCCCTGATCACACTCTTCCATCTCCTTTTTCCTCAACCCGACCGTTCTTTCTTCCCTCATTTATTTTCCTTCCTTTTTTTTCCCCACCGAATCCTATGGCCTCCGACATCCGCAACACACAATCCCCCCCCCCCAGACCAACAATCCGTGGCACAACAACCCTCATCGTCCTAACCCTCGGAACTCGCCAACGGTGTTGGCCATCAATGCTGACAACAGACCCGGTTCCCAACATCAACATTCCCGGAGCAGGAGCCGGAATGCTCCACGAGATTGCCCAAATGATTGCCGACGAGATGACGAGGACGACGGCGATGTTCCTATCTACACCGCCAATGAAGTCAACCGTTTTCTAGCGGAGGCGTCAGTCCAATCACTCTACCAAGGGAAGACGCCGGGACAAATCGTATCCAACGTCGTCTCCAGGATGTCGAATGCTGATAAACTCCAGCCTAATGGATCCAACTTCGCCGTTTGGGAGCTGATGATGAGAGAACGGGCTCTCGAGATTTTCAGCAACCCGACATGGTACACTAAACCGTGCGTGGATCCGGTCCAGGAACAAATAGGACAATCACTCCTGCTCGCGACCGTCGACAGCAACATGCACCGAAGCATGTTACGTCAACCTAACTGCCTTGAAATGTTCGCATACCTGAATTCAAGATTTTTCACGGTAACTCGTGGGGAACAGTTGTCGTGCTGGGACAGATTGATCAACCTGAAAATGTCCGACTTTTCAAGCAGCGCCGAAGCGGTAACCAAACTCTATGAGACTCTTGACGACTTCATCAGTTACGGACTAGACATCAATCGAGAAACGATTGGAGGTCTCGCGCTACAGAGTTCCATCGAGCCAGGTACCGAGTTACGCAAAGAAGTGGATCGCCGAGTCGAACAGGACCTGGGCGGTTCCAGCAAGACGCTATCAAAGAAAGCAGTCACGCCGGATCAGATCCTAAAGCACATCGACATCGTTAAGAGACAGCTCGACTTGGGCCCATCACGAGCGAATACCTTCTCCAGCTCCCTGCCACAAGCACGTCAATCGGCCGTCGCCATTTCCGATCAAGCGAGGGAGTTCTACGATCCTCAAACCTGGGATACTCAATCCGAGCAGGTAGAGGGCCTGGCGACGACAGGTCCCCAATGCTGGAACTGTCGATTGACTGATCACTTACTCAGCAAATGTCGCCTCCCGAGGCGGGCAGACTTTGACAGACCCCCTTCGACGTTCAATGCAATTTGAAGACCGCCTCATCTTCCTAGTGGATACAGATCAAACAACGCTCCGGTGCTAGCGCCTGGGAACTTCCAGGCATGGTACCCGATTGTCACCCCGCCGGGATATCAGCACCGAGGTTTCCAATCGACTCCGTCTCCATATGCACCTCCGTTACCCGCTTCCGGAGGACACCAAGCTGGGAAGCGAGCCGACTCGTACCGACCCAACTACTGACAGAGACCCCCGGCCCAAACATCAAGACAACACGGTCAGACCTCGGCTAACTCAGCTGATGTGCCAAACCCGCCCGATCAACCAGAATCAGATCAATCCGAATCAGCCCACGGGTATTACCGCCCACCATCTCCGATCCTGGAGTCAACATTGAGGATGATTGAGATCGGAGTATTCGATGAAGGTCTCCAGAATGGGGTGATCCCAAATTTTTGCCAAATCACTCTGGATGACGGTGATGAACCCGTGTTGGACACCGGGGCAATGCATCACTTGACTGGCAACAGGTACGCACTCCGAAACTTTCGTCTCCTAAAGAATCCTATTCCCCTCCGTGTGGCCACTGAAGGAGGCGGTTCCTTTATCACAGGGGCTGGGGACCTCTCTTTTCCGACCCGGAATGGGCAAATCACAATTCTTAGAGGAGTGCTTTATTGTGAGCAAGCCTCTTCAACTCTCATCTCTTTGGCAGCTCTGAGAAAGGCTAACTCAAAATTCCTCTACAATCACGTAGAGGATGCCTTCCATATATTTTCCCCGCATTGGCTTCTGCTCTTCAGCTGCCAGTTCCGCAGGACTACCAATAAATGGTGCCTACCTTGGCCACTTCCTCCCAATCCATCTGGAGAACCCACATCTATAATTTCTCTTTCTGCCTCTCTTCATTCTCCTGTTTCTTCTTGTTCTCAACCGAATTCCTTTCATCAACCTGCTTTGTCAAATCCTTCATCTTCTCATGTCTCTCCTGCTTCAAAAATTGTCAACAAACAGCCATGCAATGAAAATACTAACAATGTTGACTCCAAGAATATAACCAGACCCACCGGCTTAGCTGTGAAGACCACAGAGAAGGAGCTTTTTGAGTCACCCTTGGAAATATCACCCAGCTTCACATGGCGACCAGAGGATCTTACCAAGGACGAGGCTACGCTATTACTTTGGCATCGAGTCTTTGGACATGCCAGTCTAAGAGTCATCAGACGTTTGGTAAAACAACAAGCTGCGTTTGGCCTACCTGAGAAGATGCCCGCGGGCCAACTGCGCTGTCCAGTGTGTGCAATTCACAAAAGCAACAGGACCGGCACCCTTCAAAGGTCTAATAGGTCGGTTAAACCACTTGAGATTCTTAACGTTGATTTGATGGGACCTTTTCCTATTGAGACTTACCACAAAGGTCGCTATGTGCTAACGATCAAAGATTTAGGTTCTGGCTATAATGAAGTTAAAATTATGGCAAATAAATCTGAGGCTAACAAGCACATTATAGACACAATTAACAGACTGGAACTACAGACCAAACTGAAAGTCAAGGTACTACGAAGTGACAACGGTGGAGAGTTTGCGAACAAGGCATTGGGCACCTTCTTGACAACCAAAGGCATCCGGGCGGAGAGGAGTCTACCTTATCACCACTACCAGAATGGTGTTGTTGAGCGTTTCAACAGGACAGTATCGGACATGGGAAGAACAGTCTTGGGTGATAGCAAGCTTCCGCAACGCTTCTGGGGTTTTGCTTTTGAATGGGCTTCGTGGACCCTCAATTGGCTTCCCAACAAGACAAGTGGGGAGAAGACACCTTACGAAGTACTGTTCAAAATCAAACCACAGGTAGATAAAGCTCGAATCTTTGGAAGTGTTGCGTATGTTCTACAACCTCCCGAAAAAAGAGACAAGCTAGCTGATCATGCATTTAAAGCGCATGTTATCTCCCACTTGGACGAGAGCAAAGGCTGGATGTTCTGGGTCCCGGAGACGGATAAACTTGTGACATCCGCCTGGGCCACGTTCGAGGATATACCTGGAACACCCATGCTGACAACTGATCAAGTGAACAAGCACTTAAAGACATCGCTGACAATTGATGCGAGGAGTAATATCGTTTCTTTAGGTGACTTCTCTCATGAACTTGCGTATGAACAGGAAGAACGACTGGTTGACGACATTATCATCAACTGTGGCTTTTATGCGGTAGGAATCCCCAAGACATACAAACAGGCTCAAAAATCGACTGACTGGGATAGGTGGAAAATAGCCGTGGAGGAAGAACTGGGCAACCTCGACAGAAAACAGGTGTGGGAAGTAAAACTCATGGATTCACCGAAACAAGAACTCGATGGGCGATGGGTTTTTGCAGTCAAGACAGCACCGGACGGTACGATTACTAGGTATAAAGCGCGATATTTAGCGAAGGGTTTTACCCAAGTCAAAGATGTTGATTTCAAAAAGACTTTTGCTCCCACCGCAACCTTTATGTCTATGAGATTGGTACTGACACTAGAAGCGGCACACAACTGGCCAGTTCACTCCTTTGACTTTGTGGCAGCTTACCTGAACTCCGACATCGATGAGGAGATTTGGATAAAACCACCGGAAGGCATGAAACTGGGACCGGGAGAAGGATTGCGACTGAAGAAGGCACTCTACGGGACAAGAAAGGCAGCAAGATGCTGGTGGCTGCATTTGAAGAACATTCTATTAAGTCTAGGATACTCAGCCAGCCATTATGATACCAGTCTGTATGTACTACAGGATCCGTCGAAGGTCGGAGTGATATGGATACATGTCGACGACGGCATAGTAACAGGCGACTCCATCAAAATTCTGCAGCACCTTGAAACTTCTCTTGAAGGTAAACTTGAGATCAAATGGAGCGAATCACTTGACTCAATCGTGGGTGTAGATGTGACACGTTCACCAGGTACTTTCACTCTCAGCCAAAAGAAGTTGATAACAGAGATTCTAGACTCGCATTGGGATGGTTTCACAACTGCTAAGATGCCCTTGCCTGCTAATGTCGATATCAATTCCACACAGGATGGGGATCCAACCACATCTACTGCTTACCTTTCTATTGTCATGTCTCTTAGTTATTTAGCAGTAGGCACGAGACCGGACTTTTCATTTGCAGTCAATTTCTTGGCACGGTTCTCGGCATCACCTGGACCGTCCCATTGGAAAGGAGTTCGGCATCTGGTGAACTACCTAGCACATTCAAGGGACCAGGTGCTAGTCTTACGACCAAACAACGATATCAAGGCTTTGAAGTGCTACTGCGATGCGTCCTGGGGGGGAGAACACTCCAAATCAACTTACGGAATCTTTGTGACCTTTCTAGGTTGCCCTATCCTGTGGTCATCCCGAAGACTCGCAACGGTGGCAGCCTCTACTTGTGAGGCTGAATATATGGCGCTGGGAATAGCGACTCGACAAGTTCTTTGGGTACGACACCTGTTGAAGGATATACTCCGAAAAGATTTCAAAGGAAATCTCTTCTGCGACAACCAATCGGCGGTCAAGATAAGTACTGATGATTCCTCAAACAAACGGGCAAGACACACAGATAGGGAGTTTCATGTCACCAATCAGGCTTTGTATCAAAAGAAGACAGAGCTAACTTGGATCCCGACGAAAGAGCAGTTGGCGGATATTCTCACTAAATCCCTGACTAGGGGACCTTTTGAGCGCCTTAGGCACCATCTCTTAGGGTCATAGTTGGGGATGAGACCAGTTTTCATTGTCATTTACTCTATTTTAATTACCTCTCATATATTTTCTTGTACATAGTACGCCTAGTGTCTAGGTGAGGGGGGGGGGGGTGTTGTAACCCAACTACTGGGTTACCTCCAGACTCACTAGACCCTAGTGCATGTAGCTCGAGTGAGCGAGTTTGAGATAATAATAATAATTATCATCACAAACCACATCACTAGTTGCTCTTGATGTGTACTTAACAGATCCTCTAATAATGTAGTCATAATTGTGATCAGTGCATGTATTGAATGTATTAATTCTATTGACATTTAATACTTACTATTTGATACATGTACATATTTATTTGTAATAATATTTGACCGTGAAAATACTGTAGAAGAGGGATAACTTGTGGTACAGGTATTTCACGGACAAAGGAGTGAAAGGTAAGTGATAATTACTTATGTAGAACACAGATATGTATTTAATAGATAAGTAATTAACAGATAAGATAAATATAAGATAAATAAGATAAGTTAATAATAATGATAAGATAACAAGAGGTAAAGGTAATCAACATTATGGATAAGTACTTATGTACATAAGTACAGGTGTTGCAGTTACTTGGTACATGAAAGGTACTGTGACATGTACTCTGTGGCTGACACTTCCTCCCTTTAAAAAAGGCTGATCCAAGAAATAAATTAATGTTATTTTCTTTTATCAGCTCTGTATTGTCTGAGAATTTTATCAGCATCAGGTATTTTATCGAGGTTTGGCTGCAAAATCCTTCCATCCCAAATGGAGGACAATCATGTTCTCATCATCCACTTGGAATGGAAAATGGCTGGAGCTGAGCTTGTCGAATTTTTTCAGCTCATCCAGCTCAGTCAGCTCTTGGACCCAGCTCATCCAGCTCAGTCAGCTCAGTCAGCTCTCGGACCCAGCTCAGTCAGCTCTTGGACCCAGCTCAGTCAGCTCTTGGACCCAGCTCAGTCAGCTCTTGGACCCAGCTCAGTCACATCCAGCTCAAAAACTAGCTCTAATCCCTAACCCCAATCCCTAAAACTAACCCTAAACCTAACCCTAAACCTAACCCTAAACCTAACCCCTAGCCCCTAAACCTAACCCTAACCCTAAACCTAAACCTAAACCTAACCCTAACCCTAACCCTAAACCCCCAAACCCCCTAACCCCTGACCCCTAACCCCTAAACCCTAAAACCTAAACCCTAAAACCTAAACCTAACCCCTAAACCTAACCCCTAAACCTAACCCCTAACCTTACCCCTAACCTGACCCCTAACCCCTAAATTGGAGCTGCCTTTGGTGGGGCTTGAACCCACAACCTCAAGGGAGGTGGAGGGCAGGATTAGCTGACTAGGCTACAGAGCTGGACTGAGGATTTAGTTTTGTTTGTATTTTTAGTGGACCTCATCAGCTGGATGAGCTGGGTCCCAGAGCTGACTGAGCTGGGTCCGAGAGCTGACTGAGCTGGGTCGGAGAGCTGACTGAGCTGGGTCTGAGAGCTGACTTGAGCTGACTGAGCTGGATGAGCTGGGTCCAAGAGCTGAAAAAATTTGACGAGCTCAGCTCCAGCCATTTTCCATTCCAAGTGGATGATGAGAACATGATTTTCCTCCATTTGGGATGGAAGAATTTTGCAGCCACAGGTGATTTTATCAACTGTAAGCCATTCATCTTCTTTGGTACCACTGTATCTTACTAAATATTGTTTCATGTCTTCATTGTTTTTTCTGATTTTTCTATGTTGTAATATCTTCTTGATTTTAATTTCTTCTTTTTCTAAAGGAGGTATTACTACTCTGATGTTATCTTTTCTTAAAGGAAATTTATCATTATCACTGGTTTTGTATGGTTTAATCAGACTGACTGGTGTGGTGTTCTAAACGGTACAGGCCCCGCCCCCTCAAGCTCGAATTTCAAATTTCAACTTTCAACTCTTCAATATCCTCAAGACTCAAGATTTCAATATTATCACCTCAAATCCCCACTCAGTCCAATGGTTTCCTCACTTTATTATTTTATTCCATTTCCTCTTCATATTATTTTTTATTCATCTTGATTTAATGGAGGTCTTCCCGTCGATTTTACAGGGCCTGTAAAGCTACTTTTACAGCCTGTAAAGCTAAAATAAATTTACATGACCTTTGATTAACACCCGCCCCATCCCCCCTCCGGTCCGACTGATCTCCTCTCCGATCGGCTCTCCAATTGGGTCATATCCTCTTCTGGTTCTCATACCCTCTTCCTACCATCTCCGATCAACCTCTTCAAGATGGACCCTACACAACTAACTCACCCAATCCAACCAACCCACCCTATCCAACTCACCCAGCCGACCCAACAAACCCACCATACCCAAATACTCCACCCCATCCAACTCACCCAGCCTACCCAACTTACCCACCCTATGCAACTAACCCAGGCAAGCGAACTATCCCAGCAAAGCCTCCCAAGCCAATTAATCAGCCCTACCCTGCCAACCCAGCCAACCCAAAAAAGCAATCCTATCCAATCAAATCAACCGACCCATTCTGGAACCGCTACCAGTATCCAATCGAATCCGTCCGCACGATTGGCAGCTGCTACTGCATCCAAGCGTCCTGGGAGGCAAAAGGGATCACTTGGATACACCACTCCAGACTGCTTGGCTCTGGTGGATGCAGTCAAGATGTGTCTCCCTTTGGGCTCCCAGGAGTGGGGATATGTTCAAGTTGAATTTAACAAATACGCGCAGGAAAGTGGTCGACCAACCAGAGAGGCCGAAGCGTTAAAGCTCAAGTTCCGAGCCTTAGCAAACCAGACGAAACCAACAGGCGATGCTGACTGTCCGTCATACGTTCGCGAGGCCAAAGCAGCTCAAATATCGATCGATAGACGAGCTCATGTCATCTCATTTAATGATAATGAAAACACAAATGAGACGTGAGTGTTTTACATATGATGGGTCTGATGTTCAAATTGATAATTTTTTTATGTTTGAATTCTTTTGGGTCAGGCATGAGATTAGAGGAGAAGTCGAGGTGTCATTGCAAGATCATGAAGAAGCCGATTTGGACTTTGGAAACAATGAGGTGCTTCCTGATCCTCTCGATCTAACCACACCTCCGGCGACAAACCCTTCTGAGCGATCACAATTGCAATCGGATAACTCTGGACCCAACTCGCGATGCTTTAGCGCGTGGAGCCAGAGGACCTCTGGGTCTGCCTCCGGTTCTCACCAAAATCCTTTGGTGAATCGACCGGACACTTGGGTCCGATCAGATGGCCCTTACAAGAGTGCAGCGCAATCAAGGAGACCGGGACTGCCTCCACCCCAACTTGAAGAGAATATGGTCGCTTATTTCGATCCTCAAGCACGAGAGGCGCGCGATCACGAACGTAGTGTGACTCAGTTCTATGCTTTTTCCTTACAGGATTCTCGTGCGGCAAACGCTTGTCTTGAGGCCAAGATCAAGGAACTACGCGATGGGGATAAGAGTTTAGCTAACCAACTGAAAATCAAAAACGATCGACTGAAAGAGAAGATAAACGAACAAAAGTTTGAAATCCAGGGACTTAAGAATGAGATCAAATTCTTGCAATTGCAACTGGATTTCGGGGGTAGTACTCAGTCTCGTCTTTCTCATCCATCCAACCCATCCTCTGATGGTCATCTGGCCAGCACTTCATCTCCACACAACGCTTGATGATCATGGAATCCTTGTGTGCCTCGGCACCCCCTTCAAAGACAAACACCTCACAATTTTTATGGCCCTTTTTTGCTGAAATTTTCATATTATCTACTGCTTCTCACTGTGACCTTGGCTGCTTGTTACTGATTAAAATTAGCGACTATACACGGAACAATTATTAAAACTAGCCTGCTATGAACACACACATACACCATGGGGCGGGTTTTTAGAAAAACCCCCCAGCAAACGGATGGATTCCGTCCCGAGCGCCCGCAACTTGGTTGCGAAGCATCCAACGGACGCTCGGGCGGGCCTGGCATCATTTGGACGCTTCAGAAAGCGTCCAAGGGATGCTTGGCAGGCGAGACCATCCAGAGGATGGTGTACAGCCCGGTGTCCATCGGACACTTGATTGGGAGTGTCCGATGGACAACAAGAAAACCATCAATTGGACACTTCTCAGAGTGTCCGATTGATGGTTTTCACCCGGGTCCGGCAGTGGAAAAAAAAGGGTCAATTGTCGAAAAATTATTCAAAAGGTGGTCGATGGTCGAAAAACGATCCAAAAATGCAGCGCGGGGTATGTAGTTGACTCTTTGACCAGTGGAATATCAAGAATCTAGTATAGTTGAGTGGCAAAGTACTGCCTCTGTGGAGTTACTGGTGGCACCACCTGGAGGTCATGGGTTCAAACCCAGGCCTGGCATTTTTGCCCCCAAGGGCTTCTAATCCTACCATCCGATGGATGGTTTGGCCCTACCATCCGGGTTCAGCAATATGCAAGTCGCATCCAATGGATGCTCCTTGCAGGGCCAAGGTCGGATGGCATCTGGTACATCCGATTGGGTGTCCAAATGCCATCCACCACGCCCGGTGGTGTATATATATAAATTTTGTTATCTATCAGTATTTGCTATCAGGACTGCCATCCCACCTTGCTTACCATGTGTTTGATGCTAGCTTAAAAATCATTGATCTGAATGTTAATTCACCTATCACCATGAGTAATGAGTCGTGTAATGAGACAAGCAATTAAGATTGATGTGATTTGAACAATTACAATCGACCCAACCAAAAAGAGTTCAACCAAAAAAAAAGTGCCAGTGTTAAGATTAACAGAGGTTATTGCCTTTGAGATTGCACATGATTTCATACATCTGAGCAGGAGAATGGATTAAATTACAACCACCCATTATAATAGCGGCTAATCCGACACTTCTTTTGAATCTGACCAAAGAGCATTCTATGGAACAAACGACAGAGCAGATTGTAATCATTTTCTACCTGTTGATAGACCGTATGTGTCTGATTAATACCGACTGATCAACATCGCACTTGATGTAGTCAAACCGCAAGCTCGAGGATTTGTGCGCGATATTTGTGGTCGGATTCCGGCATTGGAAGCTTGAGCCGGCTGAAGGACCCTTGGATGGATCGCATTCCCCATTCTGCAGCTTGACGAGCAGAAACCAGCTGTTCGTTGAATACCTTCATACGAGCAAATCATACTGAATCCTTTGGCAACTTGTCCCCCCGCTTTGCAGGGGCAACAATTCGATAGCCCAGCCGATTAGTCACCCTGGGAAACGCAGTATCACTAATCACCCGGTACCCACGTGGGGTGTTATGCTGCAAATTTTGGTACAATTGCTCCGCCACATTTGAGTCGTGCCAGGATCCAGGTGCGTTGAGGATTGCGTGTATGACTGTGCCATCAGGAGCAAATGTTAGGACACTGCTGCAATAATGAGCGCAAGTCCAACCATTGTAGTAGGCATTTTGAAGGCTAAATTTCAGTCAATGATTCAACATCAACACATCATTCAAAGTCACCACTTACTCATAATCATCGGCTACCATGACAGGAAAATTCAATCCATCGATGAAACCAAAACACTTTGTAAGCAGTGGGAATTTGCGCTTGATCAAAGGGCTGTAATACTTTGTTTTCTGTTCATTGGATGGCCAAACAATCTTGGCCATTTCCAGATCCCGCAATACATCCAGGAGAAGCTTGCGACTGTATTTCAGATATCGAGCGCAAACCGCCGGTGTTATGGCAAAAATTTGCTGCAAACTATGTGAAGCCATAGTCAAACTGAGCCAGTGTAATACAAGACCTAAGCCACCGGCCGCATCAAGAGATCGTCTAGCTAGTTGAGGTGCACCATTTGGGTTCACATCGGCACGGCAGATCGCTTCTGAATCCCATGCAGCATTGAAAAGTTGTAACATTGCCTTGAAGGTCCGAACATCGACGCCCATGGTGGTGATGTATGCTCGATCATTCCCAACCATTCGCAAGTGAGCCCAGGCACTACTCGATTGAGGATGACCGGCCAGATCGTCTCGTGTAAGGTACGTTCGTAGAGTTCGGATCGGAGTGGGGCGGCCTAGGATTGCTGATCCAACGAATGCCGCTAAAGAGTCTTCCTCGTCTTCTTCCTGGCGCCAATAGTCTTCATCAAACATGATTGAATTCATCTGACCAACATTTGATGGGAAGATTTGAGTGTTGAGTGTGTAGTGCTGGCGGACAGGTTGGCGAGAACGTGGTCGGTTAGCAAGTCACACGGTGACAGCAAGGCTTAACAGCTGATGCTGTATTTTATGTAGCTTGATGCCGACGGAAAGCTATATTTACAGGGGGCTGGAAAATTGGATTTACAGGCTGTAAAAATAGCTTTACAGGCCCTGTAAAATCGACGGGAAGACCTCCAATTTTTATTTTATCATTTTATCATTCTTTATTATCTTTTTCAAATCATTTACTCAGAAGACAGTCTTGTTTAATTTTCTTGGTCCTAAGACATCTTAGTATGTTGGTTTATTTCACTCTTGATTATTTTGTTTTGTTTTGTTCTGTTCTGTCTTTTTCTGTTGTGTGTGTTGTGTTGTTGTGTTGTGTTGTGTTGTTGTGTTGTGTGTGTTGTGTTGTGTTGTGTTGAGTTGAGTTGTGTTGTAGTTAGGGATATGATGACATGTCTGTGACATGTCACTCCCCAGAGTCAAAGTTCAGTTTGAACTGAGATGATGGGGAAGCATGGCACTCTGATCTGATCCAAGATAGACCCATCATTTCTTATTGATCTTTTCATTATTAATCCATTGGATCCTCACACCCACCAATCCTCAAGGTCAACAACCGCCACAGAAATCACCTTCTGTTGTCCCCTCTCAGAAAACCAACCAACCCCAACGCGTTTTGTTCAGATCACAGCTCAATTTATCCGGACCCCACTTGAAGGCAGCCCTCAAAGCACCATCCCTTCAACCAAATGCCTACCGCCTGGCACGATAGGAGTTCCACATTTGGTCCCCCGAGCCGGGATCGAACCAGCAACCTCAAGATTTACAGTCTCGTCTTACTTGGTCTTCTTTCAGGCAACAGGTGCTCTAACCTTGAGGATTTCTAGCGTCTGGCTCTCGTTTCAGGACCTCTAGCCTCCTTTCAGGACCTCTAGCCTCATTTCAGGATCTCTAGCTCTGGTTTCAGGACGTTGTATTAGGTTCGCTTTTGGTTGATAACTTCGATTGCTTATATCTCTCTTGCTGTTTGTTTTCGTGGAAAGGTGTCGCAGACGAAACTGTAGAACGGATCCGTGGCTTTAAGCTGAAATAAAGAACGTTAAAATTGGCCCAGGTTTTCAGAAGTTATTGACCCTTGAAGTTCAAACCTGTTTTTGCGCTTACCTTGTTTTCGGAGCCTTTTAACACGCTACCCGTTTGTTTTCGTCAATCAAGTCCAAGAACAGAGTTGTAGCAGACAATTAGGGCCTTTTGCTGAAATCAAGATCTTCAGAATTGGATCAGCGGTTTAAAAGATATCAGCTTTCAAAGCTCAAACTCAAGTTTTTGCTTCCCTCACCTTTGGATCCTCCTAGCGCCTTATCTGTTTGTTTTCGTCGATTGATTCCGATGGAAAAGTTGTAGCTGTCGAGGAAAAACTCTGCCTCAAATCAAGATTGTCAAAATCGGACCAGCGGTTCAGGAGTTATTGCTGTTCAAGTAAAACCCCTCAAATTCTCTCTCAGGCTTTCCTCTTCTTTGGGTCAGTCTTTTCTACACATCACGTGGCGTATATTGTGGAGGCCTTAGGACAAAAAGTAAGTCCCCTCCAGTTGTGCACCTCTGAAGCATCACTACTATCTGTCAAAGACATCATCTCCACTTCGTGAGCCATCCTCGTTTGCCATTTGCTTTCCTTAGAGTCCAATCAATCAAGACAGAATGGCCGACAACAAAGGAGAAGCTGCTATGGTCAAGATCAAGCCTCAGAATGAGGATCTAGCGTTTAATGGGAGCAATGTTGAGTGTTTTCTTTCTGAATATCAACTAGCTGCGCGTTTGGATGGAGCGTCAGAGAAGGACATGGCTCAAGAGCTAGGATTTTTAATCGCGAAGGACGGGCTGTTGGATGTCGTTGAGACTTTGGAAGGACACGAGCCGCCGGACTGGCCTAAGTTGAAGGCTTCTATGATAGCTTACTGGGGAAACGTCGATACCGCCAAGTTTAGTTTGCCTGATCCCGAGCCTTCTGATCAATCGCTGGAAGAGGAAAATCCCCGGAATCTTGAGCGCGGCCTCCCATTGGGTTCTCATAATGATCTACTAGTTGAGGAGGCGTTAGAATCTGATTTGAATTTTGTAGATCTGGATGTTGGGCCGGAGCTTTTTGATAAATCTAGCAAACAGGACCGTAATGAATCGATTAAGACAAGAGAACCTGCTTGGCATCCCACAAAGGCCAGTTTGGATTTTATGGCTGCCTCTGTCATTGAATACCTATAGGCTTCTAGAATCAACAAATCCAATCCCTCCCAAAGGCAGTGTGAAAACCTCAAGTCATCCGCAGTGCTCTCTGTTTTGCTTCCTCCGGTCAAAGATTCTACACTTCCAGTTCCTGATTCAGATCAAGAAGACATGGACAACAATCCCGAGTTGTTTGAGCAATCAACTGAAGATCCAAGCCCTGCTGAAGTCACCGCTGCTAGATCAATCCTTGCACTTAATCCAGTCACTTCCCCGATCAACAATCATCTTTCTACAGAGATCTCGGAAAATCTTTCTTCCACCTCTGCCTCAGCCCCCACAGTTTGTCGACCACTGATCTGTTATTATTGTCATGGTAAAGGCCATGGGACGGCCCACTGTCATGCACTCCGGAAGGACAAAGAGAAACACCTTGTTGATCAGAAGGGGCACAATTATTTTCTTCCCAGCGGTGCCTGGATCCCTTTCAACCCTGTCCGACCTATCCGCAGTGTTGTGACGGCATTTCAAGCTTCAAGTCGTTCCGCTCCTCCATTTCCTGCGCCGTATCGGATCAGTTGTGGCGCTCTTCAGCCATAGTATCCAACAAACAAGCTAATTCCCTGCGCAGCTCCGCTAGTTTCTGAATCTTATCATTGTCACTTGATCCGCAAATCACCCGACATCGAGTCTTCTCAACCCAAAGTCTTGTCCTCTGATCCACCCTCTCCAAAGTGTTTGGCCAAGTTTGTCAAGGAGGCAAACTCTGTCCTGAAGAAGATTATCAATCTGATGGTTCCAGGTTTCTCCGCTTCCTCCTTGGACAACGTTCATCTTCCCAAGAGTCAAATTCCTGAAAGGACGAAGGCAAGAAAAGTGATTCTGCGGAGGCATCATGGAGTTAAAGTAAGTTCTCTCCAATGTGCCTCTCCAGGGCTTGATGCCACCAAAATAGTCAAAACTCTATCTTGTGCCACACTCGTGAGCAATGGACAACCTTCTGCCCTCAATTCCCCAGATGTACCAGATCCGACTTCATCCGAGACCCTCCGAAATGAGGTTAAACTATCCTCTAATCCTTCTCTGTGTTCCGTTCCCGATGTTGATCCTATTGGCCAGCTCCGCCTGACTGAAGAGTGTTTGGTTTCCTCCACAATCGCCCTCCAAGATGAGGTTAAACTATCTTCCGATCCTTCTCTGCGTTCCATTCCCAATGTTGATCCTATTGGCCAGCTCTGCCCGACTTCTGAGCGTTTGGTTTCCTCCTTGATCAACCTCCGAGATGAGGTTAAACTATCTTCTGATCCTTCTCTGCATTCCGTTCCCGATCTTGATCATATTGGCCAGCTCCGGCCGACTGAAGAGTGTTTGGTTTCCTCCCCAATCGACTTCCGAGATGAGGTTAAACTATCGTCTGATCATTCTCTGCATTCTGTTCCCGGTCTTGATCCTATTGGCCAGCTCCGCCCGACTGCTGAGCGTTTGGTTTCCTCCTCGATCCGCCTCCACAAAGAGGCTACATTACATTCTCAAGTCCAGGAATCTGTCTTCTCCTCTCAAGCCTCATCTGATCCCAACAACCCTATGTCTTCCTTATTGCATAATTATCAATCTCATCCCTCTGGTGTTCCCAAATCTTCCATCACTCCTGAAGTTCACCAATCTCAATCCTTCCAGCCTTTATCCAACTCCGTAGATTCCCTTTCTTCTTCTTCTCCGATCCGCCTCTGCAATGAGGATAAACTAGCATCAGTTCCGATCCCCAATCCGCTCCACAATGAGACTAAACAAACGTCCAAATCCTCCAATGTTGAAGATCCCGATCCTGTGTCATCTGATGGTGCGGCAGCTTCCTGCCAAGTTGAAAATGATCTCTGCAATAAGAGTGAATTAGGTTTGTTACATTTTGATGAGGAAGAAGGATGGATGATAGAGGTTTTTCCCCGTGGAGGCAAAGTTGACCAAAAGTAAGTCCTCCCAATGTATGCATCTCCAGGGTATCTACTACCGCTTTGTAAAAACTCTACTTTATGCCACATTTGTGAGCACCTGGATGGGCCCCTGGTTGGCTTGGTTGCAAGTGGTGAGGAGATGTGGTGTTCTAAACGGTACAGGCCCTGCCCCCTCAAGCTCGAATTTTAAATTTCAACTTTCAACTCTTCAATATCCTCAAGACTCAAGATTTCAATATTATCACCTCAAATCCCCACTCAGTCCAATGGTTTCCTCATTTTATTATTTTATTCCATTTCCTCTTATTATTTACACTTCATATTATTTGTTATTCATCTTGATTTAATTTTTATTTTATCATTTTATCATTCTTTATTATCTTTTTCAAATCATTTACTCAGAAGACAGTCTTGTTTAATTTTCTTGGTCCTAAGACATCTTAGTATGTTGGTTTATTTCACTCTTGATTATTTTGTTTTGTTTTGTTCTGTTCTGTCTTTTTCTGTTGTGTGTGTTGTGTTGTTGTGTTTTGTGGTGTTGTGTTGTGTTGTGTTGTGTTGTGTTGAGTTGTGTTGTAGTTAGGGATATGATGACATGTCTGTGACATGTCACTCCCCAGAGTCAAAGTTCAGTTTGAACTGAGATGATGGGGAAGCATGGCACTCTGATCTGATCCAAGATAGACCCATCATTTCTTATTGATCTTTTCATTATTAATCCATTGGATCCTCACACCCACCAATCCTCAAGGTCAACAACCGCCACAG